GTTCACTGCCCTCGCTCAGAGCAGGTTCACTACTCTTACTGAGTAGGTTCACCACCCTCGCTCAGAGCAGGTTCACTACTCTTACTGAGTAGGTTCTCAGCCCTTGCTCAGAGCAGGTTCACTACTCTTACTGAGTAGGTTCACCGCCCTCGCTCAGAGCAGGTTCACTACTCTTACTGAGTAGGTTTACAGCACCTGGGGAGGTCCGGAGCTAATGCGGATTGTTGCTTTACTACGTTAAGATTTACTCGTTCAATAATCTCCACTTACCCGTTAGTAACTACGACTTCCCTTTAAATTTGTTACGACTTAATCTTCACCGTAACAATAGGGGCACAAATAACTCCATTTTTTTGATAGTTTTATTTTATTACCATTCATTTAGCTTCATTGGTATTTGGTTAGTGAATTAAAATAACCACAAGCAATTATAAATTAAATACTATACAGCAAGAAACCCAATCTTACGTTCAAATTCTCATTAACAGAGTATGATACAATAATTTCAATTAATAATCAACTAATCTCACCCTTTAACTCTTTTAGAAAGGTCTGGGGTAACGAAATAGTTATCTTTCATAAGTGACATGAATTACCAGACCTCAGGAAACTAATGGCAAAGGCAAGGCAATAGACTTGGTTTAAAGTTTTAGTTTAAGCTAGGAGCTTTGGGTTGAAGACCCGTACCGAGTCAGAGCTAGGAGCTGACTGACTCACTCAACTACTCCATAGTATGACTTCAGCTCTGCCAGAAGGCGACGCGTGGCGTCAATTCTAGAACCACCAATTGGTCACTACAGTAGTGGTTACACATTCGTAATACCTAACCTAATAATAATATAATATAATATTATAATTATAATAATCATGGGGAAAGATATAATGTAATACAATATAATACAATGAGAGTACTTTTGATGATTCATACTGTACCCGATAATAATATATAGTCGAACCTGCTTTATCTAGCTAGTAATAAAGTGGTTCGCGATATATTATTACAGAACTTATTTTAACCAGGCCTTTTATTTTTGTATATAATGGAGTGAAGTAGGGGCGCATAACACCTCCCCCCTCGCGACTGACGGTCGCCATTGATTTGTACTCTCGGTGGTGGGTAGCGTCTGTCATAGTAGCAGAGGTTGTAACAGACAGCAGTCCTACATCATCTCCAGCTTTCTCCACAACATAGATGGTCATAAAAGTACCGACTCATACTGTTAAAATAAAGGTATATTAATAAAATTTCAATGCCTAGAGAATTTTGATGTATATTTAGGATCTTCTACCCATCAGATATCGGTGTACTCCAATCATAATCCTTTGACCTTCATAAATTCTATGAAATCGAAGAACGCCAGAATACTTCGTTGGGCTTTGAGAATTCAACCCTTCTCTATTACCATTTCCCATATAAAAGGAAAACATAATCTCATTGCTGATGCCCTCTCTAGGCCTTGGGGTTTCAAGGGGTGTCTCACTCACGTCTGCCAATGCTTCCTTGGTGCTCGTTGTGACATTCCCAGTAGACAACCCACATTCATCAGGTAGCACCGAAAATGGGTTGAAAATTTCCACAGTACTCTTCTGGTTCTTCATTGTTTCTGCCTCTCCAACAGTCTTCTTGATCCTCAGCTTGGTTCCATATTGCCCGGCCACTGACCAGGTACCCCTCTTAACCTGAGGGCTCACAACAGGAGGATTACTACGAATCCTCTTGTTTTCCTCCATTAGTCGCCGTATCTCCAGCTTAGCAACCCTAAGCGTCTCTTTTAGCTGCTGGTAGAGTTGTTCAAGAGAGGACATCTTGTTTCAGATTCACAGAGAGCACACAGGAAAGTCTTCTTTGATAATTCTATTCACTCATGCGCAAGTCCCACTCAAATCAAATCGTGTATGTGGGGAAGTACCCTGGCTGGTTTCTGTGGGGAAGTACACTGGCTGGTGTGTGGAGAAGTACCCTGGGTGGTGTGGGGAAGTACCCTGTCTGGTGTGTGGGGAAGTACCCTGGCTGGTGTGTGGAGAAGTGCCCTGGCTGGTGTGTGTGGGGGTGTGGGGAAGTACCCTGGCTGGTGTACATAAGAACATAAGAAAGCAGTGTAGATGAATGGCTCAGAGAACCGACAAGTTGATAAATTAGACACATGTGCAACATTTGGGTATCTTTAATGAGGAAAAGTTTCCTCATCAAAGACACCCAAATGTTTCACATGTCTCTAATTTATCATAAGAAAGCAGGAACACTGCAGCAGACCTGTTGGTCTATACTAGGTGGGTCCTTTACAAACCATCCCACTAACAGAATATTTGCCCAACTAAATTTTTAATTCTCCCCAAGCAATAAGCTTTGATAATTCTATTCACTCATGTGCAAGTTCCACTCAAATAAAATCATGTGTGTGGGGAAGTACCCTGGCTGGTGTGTGTGGGGAAGTACCCTGATTGGCTTGTGTGGGGAAGGACCCTGGCTGGTGTGTGGGGAAGTACCCTGGCTGGTGTGTGGGGAAGTGCCATGGTTGGTGTGTGTGGGGAAGTACCCTGGCTGGTGTACATAAGAACATAAGAAAGCAGGAACACTGCAGCATATCTGTTGGCCCATACTAGGCAGGTTCTTCACAAACCATCCCACTAACAGAATATTTGCCCAACCCAATTTTCAATTCTCCCCAAGCAATAAGCTTTGATAATTCTATTCACTCATGCACAAGTCCCACTTAAATCAAATTGTGTGTGTGGGGAAGCACCCTGGTTGGTGTGTGTGGGGAAGTACCCTGGCTGGTTTGAGTGAGGAAGTACCCTGGCTGGTGTACATAAGAACATAAGAAAGCAGGAACACTGCAGCAGACCTGTTGGCCCATACTAGGCAAGTCCTTCACAAACCATCCCACTAACAGAATATTTGCCCAACCCAATTTTCAATTCTCCCCAAGCAATAAGCTGTGATAATTCTATTCATAATTCTATTCACTCACGCGCAAGTCCCATTCAAATCAAATCATGTGTGTGGAGATGTACCCCGGCTGGTGTGTGTGTGTGTGGGGAAGCCCCCTGGTTGGTTTGTGTGGGGAAGTACCCTGGCTGGTGTGTTCTTTCTTGAATTCTATCATGTTTCTTGCCTTCTTTACCAAAGGGCTGGCAGTAGGAGCTTTCTTTTGGCCCATAGTGGTTTATTTAGCAGTTGCAAGCACAAAAAACAATGGATTATTACGAAATGTATCGTATGAATGCATGGGGTGATGGTCACTCGCCAATAAACAATGCCATACTGACAACGCTGGGAGGCCACTTGTATGCATTCTGGACGAGCAACAAAGGCAAATTACGAACTGTGAGGCTATATTTTGACGGAAAAAGTTGTTGAAAGTCAAAATTTACGAAGTGTGAGGCTTACAAAACTCGAGGGTCCACTGTATATTTGCTGTCTTCCACACCTCAGGTAGTCACCCTGTTTCGATAGATAAATTGAAGATTGTTGTTAGTGGCACACAGCGCTTCTGCTCCCTCTCTCAGGACCCATGGAGAGATGGTGTCTGGTTCCACCACCTTTGAGGTATGTATCTAGTTCATTTAGCAGCCTCTTCACCTCCTCCTTGGAAGTGTGTGTTGTGTCTAGCACTCGTTGGTGTACCCCACCATTCCTGTTTTCTAGAGTCCTTCCTGTCTCCATTAAAATACTTCTTGAAATCGCGTGTTGAACTCCTCACATACTTCTCGATTGTTTCTTGTGATCTCCCCTCCTTCCTTCCTCAGTCTAATTATGTGGTCCTTGACTGTTGTTTTTCTGGTCTTCCCATTATTTCTGTTGTCATTAGGTACAAACCTCTCCTTTGCCTTCTTGCATTTTGTTGTTATGTATTCCATCATTTCATATGCTGATATTTCCTCTGGTTCTCTTTCCCCCTGAACTTCATGCAGGAAATTCCTCATGCATGTGTGCATGCTCACCCTTACATACTGACCTATATGTGGTAACAGGCAGGGCCTGATTAAGGCATGAGTTTCAGGGGCTGCAGCACAGGGGCTTCCGTCAGCTGGAGGGCCTCCAGAGATGAAGTGAAAAATGTTCACAGTTGCTGCTCTAAGTTTATAATTCTTCTTTCTTTCAACACATCGGCCGTATCCCACCGAGGCGGGGTGGCCCAAAAGGAAAAACAAAAGTAAGTTTATAATTATAGTATGTTATTACATCACTTATATGATAAACTGCTGACTGATGTGATTAATTTTTGACAGAGATTAAAGAGTGGATCCATATAAGGCAGGTGTTATTCAGTTTTCTAAGGCCTTATAGTACAGAATCAATGTGTCAACTTGTCAAGCCTTTTTATATGGTTTTCATTTTACCAGTTTTTAATAATGGCTGAACTTAGTTTAATATTAATGATGTGCATTTTGCCAGTGTGTTATTAAGTGTGAATGATGAAGACATTTCAACAGCAGCAGCCAAGTTTCAGAAGATTTACTCAGATGACATCAAGCCCGGATCTTTGCCAGAAATTCATCACTTTAAAAGCTTTGTTAGGCAGTTTGATGAATTCAGGTACAAGGATGAGAGACTGCAAGTTTCTGATGTCTATATTCTTGTAGCTTAACTCCATAATGCTGAAAAAGCCCTATGGATTTTCTTGTGTTTAATGATAACTAACGCGACTGGAGAGACGAGCTTCTCCAAGATAAAACCTCTAAAGAATGTACAAAGATCGACAATGGCACAAGCATGACTCAACAGATTAGCTCTCATGGCAACTGAAAATGATGTTCTCAACTACTTACAAGTTACAGACATTTTGGAGAAATTTGTTTCCAAGAAATTACACAAAGAAAATGTTTGAATTTTAACTGTGGTTGGACTTGTAAAAATAAATCTACTATTTCTTTAACTTTACTCCTAATAGAATAAAGCACTAGATATATTACAGGGTATAAACAGTATAATAAAAAATAAGCATGATCCTCCTTCAATAATCACATATATTGCCCAAACCTTGCTCATTACAGACCTGCAAATGTGCGCCTTTTTTTGTCTTTTATATATGCAAACTTTTGAACCACTTCCTTAGGTGCTTGTAGTGGAGCATAGGGGTTGGCAGAGTGGACTGCAAGATGAGCCAGGTACAAGAACAGAGGATGAGATGAATTATGCTTCTTAATAATGTCCACAGCCTCATTGGTGAATAAGTCCGTGGTGTATTTACCTGATAGAAACAAAAATTATATTTTACTTTAGTTCTTGAACACCTAAATATTTTTTCTGTATATGAAATTAAACTACCAACAACATCACCATTAACCCTTTGAGGGTCGGTCACGTACATGTACGTCATAACACCTGAGGTCAGTCATGTACTTATACGCGTAAATTCTAGAGCTTTCAAATCGAGCGGGAGAAAACTGGTAGGCCTACATGTGAGAGAATGGGTCTGCGTGGTGAGTGTGTGCAGTAGAAAAAAAAAACAGGGCACCCTCATTGAATTGTGGGAATGCCATTTTAGTATGCCTTGTTTACCATGATTTCACGGTAAGACACTCCTCACTCCACGGCACACTGGGACTCACATTTTCTCAAGTGACAGTTCTAACACAGATGGAAGTGTCACTGAAGATGAAAAATCATGGTTTTGAGGAGTTTGTGAATGAAAGCAATACCCAGGTAACCAGAAGGAAGGAAGGAAGAGATAAAAGGAAGGAAGGAAGAGATGAGAGGTTGGAAGGAAGGAAGAAGTGAGGAAAGAAGTTAGGAAGGAGGGAAGGTAGGTAGGAAGGTAGGCAGGAAGGAAGGAAGAAAGGAATGAACAGGAAGGAAGGAATGAGAGGAAGGAAGGAAGAAGGAAGGAGGGGGGTAGGAAGGAAGGGCAGTAGGTAGGAAGGAGGGAAGGTAGGAAGGAAGGAAGGAAGGAAGGACGACCCAGATGACCATCAACATAGGATAACCCAAGTCAAACAGTGTGTAGAAAGAGGTGGGTAATAAGTAATACATATGTTTATGAAAAAGAGGAAAAAAATATACAAATATGATGTAGCACTAATGAACAGTAGTTTATTAGATTATGTATTGGTGGATAAAAGTTTGATGGGTAGGCTCCAGGATGTACACGTTTATAGAGGGGCAACTGATATATCGGATCATTATCTAGTTGTAGCTACAGTTAGAGTAAGAGGTAGATGGGATAAGAGGAAAATGGCAAAACAAGTAAAGAGGATGTGAAAGTGATAAACTAAGGGAGGATGGAATTCAGGGAAATATAAGCAATATAGGAGAAAGGTGCTCGGTGCAGGTATGAATAGTGTAGGGAGGAGGGGGGGGTGGAGGGGTTGAAAGGGTTGGAAATAGTTTTAAAAACTGCAGTATTATAGATGTGGGCAGAAGTTTGCGGTTATAGGAGGGATGGGTGCAGAGGAAAGAGGAATGATTGATGGCTGATGAAGTAAAGGGTGTGATAAAAGAGAAAAAGTTTAAGCTTATGTGAAGGTTTTTACAAAGCAGAAGTGTTATAAGAAGAGTAGAGTATATGGAGAGTAAAAGAAAGGTGAAGAGAGTGGTGAGAGAGTGCAAAAGGAGAGCAGATATAGAGTGGGAGAGGCCTGTCAAGGAATTTCAGTGAAAATAAGAAAAAAATTGGAGTGAGTTAAACAAGTTAAGAAAGCCTAGGGAACAAATGAATTTATCAGTTTAAAAACAGAGAAGGGGAGTTAGTAGATGGGGAGAATGGAGTTTTGGGTAGATGGCGAATATTTTGAGGAACTTTTAAATGTCGACGAAGAAAGTGAGGGGGAAAACATTTCATGCACTGGCCAGGAGGTATACATCATTTAGGAGTGAAGAAGAGCAGGATGTGAGTGTGGGGGAGGTGCGTGAGGCATTACGAAGAATGAATGGGTAAAGCAGCTGGAACAACGGATCATGACAGAAATGTTAAAAGCAGGGGGGTACATATTGTTGGAGTGGTTGGTATTTTTGTTTAAAAAATGTATGAAAGAGGGGAAGGTACCCAGGGATTGGCGGAGAGCATGTATAGTCCCTTTATATAAAGGGAAGGGGGACAAAAGAGATTGTAAAAATTAAAGAGGAATAAGTTTACTGAGTATACCAGGAAAAGTGTACGGTAGGGTTATTATTGAAAGAATTAGAGGTAAGACAGAATGTAGAATTGCGGATGAGCAGAGAGATTTTAGAGTGGGTAGGGGATGTGTAGATCAAGTGTTTACATTGAAGCATATATGTGAGCAGTATTTAGATAAAGGTAGGGAAGTTTTTATTGCATTTATGGATTTAGAAAATGGCTCACAGACAGGAAGCAGAGAGTGTCCATAAATGGGGTTAAATCCGAGTGGGGATCAGTAACAAGTGGCGTTCCACAGGGATCAGTCTTGGGCCCGTTGTTGTTTATAATATATATCAATGATCTTGATGAAGGAATTACTAGTGATATGAGCAAATTCGTCGATGACACAAAGATAGGTAGGATAATTGATTCAAACGTAGATGTTAGGGAACTTCAGGAGGATTTAGACAAACTCTACTCTTGGTCAGAAAAGTGGTAGATGCAGTCAATGTAGATAAATGCCAAGGTTCTGAAGCTCGGGAGTGTCCATAACCCTAGCACTTATAAGTTAAATAATGTAGAACTTAGCCATACAGATTGCAAAAGGACTTGGGGGTTTATGGTAAGCAGCAACCTTAAACCAAGACAGCAATGCCTAAGCGTACGTAATAAGGCAAATAGATTACTGGGATTTATATCAAGAAGTGTAAGCAACAGAACTCCAGAGGTCATACTGCAGCTTTATACATCATTAGTAAGGCCTCACCTAGATTATGCAGCTCAATTCTGGTCTCCATATTACAGAATGGACATAAATTCATTAGAAAACATTCAGCGTAGGATGACTAAATTAATACATAGCATTAGAAATCTTCCTTATGAAGAAAGATTGAAGACTCTTAAGTTACATTCACTTGTTAGACGAAGAATGAGGGGAGACCTGATCGAAGTGTATAAGTGGAAGATAGGTATTAATAAAGGGGATATTAACAAGGTCTTGAGGATATCTCTCCAAGAGAGAACCCGCAGTAATGGATTTAAATTAGATAAGTTTAGATTTATGGATTTATGGATTTATGGATTTATGTATTTGGAAAAGGCGTATGACAGGGTGGATAGGGGGGCAATGTGGCAGATGTTGCAAGTGTATGGTGTAGGAGGTAGGTTACTGAAAGCAGTGAAGAGTTTTTACGAGGATAGTGAGGCTCAAGTTAGAGTATGTAGAAAAGAGGGAAATTTTTTCCCAGTAAAAGTAGGCCTTAGACAAGGATGTGTGATGTCACCGTGGTTGTTTAATATATTTATAGATGGGGTTGTAAGAGAAGTAAATGCGAGGGTCTTGGCAAGAGGCGTGGAGTTAAAAGAAAAGAATCACACACAGGGTGGGAGTTGTCACAGCTGCTCTTGCTGATGACACTGTGCTCTTGGGAATTCTGAAGAGAAGCTGCAGAGATTGGTGGATGAATTGGTAGGGTGTGCAAAGAAGAAAATTAAAGTGATATACAGGAAAGAGTAAGGTTTGAGGATAACAAAAAGATTAGGTGATGAAAGATTGAATATCAGATTGGAGGAGAGTAGTATGGAGGAGGTGAACGTATTCAGATATTTGGGAGTGGACGTGTCAGCGGATGGGTCTATGAAAGATGAGTGTGAATCATAGAATTGATGAGGGAAAAAGAGTGAGTGTGCACTTAGGAGTCTGTGGAGACAGAGAACTTTGTCCTTGGAGAGGCAAAGAGGGAATGAATGAGAGTATAGTTTTACCAATGCTCTTATATGGGTGTGAAGCATGGGTTGATGAATGTTGCAGCGAGGAGAAGGCTGGAGGCAGTGGAGATGTCATGTCTGAGGGCAATGTGTGGTGTGAATATAATGCAGAGAAATTCGTAGTTTGGAAGTTAGGAGAGATGCGGGATTACCAAACTGTTGTCCAGAGGGCTGAGGAAGGTTGTTGAGGTGGTTCGGACATGTAGAGAGAATGGAGCGAAACAAATAACTTCAAGAGTGTATCATCTGTAGTGGAAGGAAGGCGGGGTAGGGGTCGGCCTAGGAAGGGTTGGAGGGAGGGGTAAAGGAGGTTTTTGTGCGAGGGCTTGGACTTCCAGCAGCATGCGTGAGCGTGGTTTGATAGGAGTGAATGGGAGAACAAATGGTTTTTAATACTTGACGTGCTGTTGGAGTGTGAGCAAAGTAACATTTTATGAAGGGATTCAGGGAAACCGCAGGCCGGACTTGAGTCCTGGAGATGGGAAGTACAGTGCCTGCCCCCTGAAGGAGGGGTGTTAATGTTGCAGTTTAAAAACTGTAGTGTAAAACACCCTTCTGGGAAGACAGTGATGGAGTGAATGAAGGGTGAAAGTTTTTCTTTTTCGGGCCACCCGGCCTTGGTGGGAATCGGCCAGTGTGATAATAATAAAAAATAGATTTAGAAAGGACATAGGAAAGTATTGGTTTGGGAAAAAAGGGGGAGTTGATGAGTGGAACAGTTTTACCTAGTTGGGTTATTGAGGCTAGGACTTTGGGTAGTTTCAAATTTAGGTTGGATAAGTACATGAGTGGGAGGGGTTGGATTTAAGTGGGACTTGCACATCGGAGCTTGTTTCTTGGGTGGCATTGAAAATTGGGTTGGTCATATGTTTGTTAGTGGGATGAATTGTAAAGGACCTGCCTAGTATGGGCCAACAGGCCTGCTGCAGTGTTCCTCCTTTCTTATGTTCTTATGTTCTTATATGATAGAGTGGATAGGGGAGCAATGTGGCAGATGTTGCAAGTACAGTGGACCCCCGCATAGCGACCTTAATCCGTGCAAGAGGGCTGGCTGTTATGCGAAATGTTCGGTATGCGAATGAATTTTCCCCAAAGAAATAATGGAAATCAAATTAATCCGTGCAAGACACCCAAAAGTATGAAAAAAAAATTTTTACCACATGAAATATACATTTTCCTACACACAAAGAGAAGGATACATGCACAATAATAGAGTAGTACATGCTCAATATATATTTTGCATGTACTACTCATACTAAATGAAGAATAAATACACTTACCTTTATTGAAGATGCAGCAATGACTGATAGACACTGTGTCCTGGGAGTGCCTTTTCCTCCTGAGTACTGTAGGTCCTGTTTGGTATTTTCTTCCAGAACAGGCCT